AGCCCCCTCCCAGCGGCTGAGTGGGGACGAAATGCACGGGGGTGACTGGAGAAGGTTGGGTACCAGCGCCACGGCGCCAAGTCCACCTGGGGATGAGCGGCAAGGTAAACCCATCCAAAAAACTGAGCGCCCCCTCCCCTCCCACCCCGACATTTGGCTAAAATGAGAAGTTGTGGGGTTAGTAAAACCACATTTTAAAGAAAAAAAAAAAACAAAACCAACACAGTGCTGAGTTACAGGAGATGCTTAAAGTAAAATGAAGTGATGAAGTTTAGGAAATCAGATCCTGGGGTTTTTCAGAACTACGGTCTACTCCTTTCTTCTGCTGAGAGTCCGAACATTGAAGCCGGCGCCACCGTGAGCTCACCGGGACGGCACACGGGCTGACAGCAGGAGCACTCAGTGAGGTACCAACACCGGGTGCAGAATGAAGTCAGTGTGACTGACTCTTTCAATTTTTAAGTTATCCTGGAGAAACGGGAAACGCGGACTGACAGGCTTCCCTAGTTTCTCCTCACAGCACATCCCCCGCTGCATAAGGGCCTAGCCCGCTCAGAATAGCACGTCAAATTTTTTTTTTTTTTTAATTGACAGATTCACTGCAGGAAGGATTTTAAAAACAACAGAGCCCTTTCAAGGGGGAATACCGAACCCTTAGCTTCTGCAAATGTAAAACCGATGCGTATTTGCAAAGTTTGTTTTGTGATATACATGCATTATTGCTAGAGGGGGGGAAAAAAAAACAAAAAAATGACGAATGAAAACTCTTCTGCAGTTTTTACGGCGCCATCCAAAATGGCATCTGTTGTTTTGCTCGCTGTTGTGAGGAAGGGTACTGGTATCCCAAACTCCATCCCTGTGAAAAAGTACTTGCGTTTTTATGGCCACCATGTTCCTCCTCTTCATCGGATGAGTCTCCAGCATAGGCCACTAACCCAAAGCCCTTTTCTGCAGTTTTCATCTTCTTTGCTTGATGATCTAGGAGGGGACAAACAAAACAATCCCCCCCAGCCCCCAAAAATAAAAATAAAAAGAGATAAAATGCCCCAAAACGAGTTAATAATAAAAAAAAAAAGATGTTAATTGTAAATTGTTAGTTGGACACCATTTTGAGGTCACAAGGCCAATGGTCATCCAAGGTCGAAGGCCACACGCAACAGCACCAGCAACAGCACATGTGATCCATCAGAACCATGTAAGAGAACAGAGAAAGAAGAAAGAAACACACAGAAAAGGTAAAGTTAGCAAACGGGTCTAAGCGATGGCAATTTCACCGTTAAAGAGATAAATACGTAAAGAAAAGTAGAAATTTTGTTCAAAAGAAAAGCTAACTGAAGAGCAATCTCTGGGACCAATACTGCAGAAAAACTAAGGTTAAACAGACTAACGTGAGGTACCTGCAGACCTGAACGGCGCTAACTACCAGGAGAGTTAAAGCGATTACATCATTCACCAAGTTGCAAATACTTGACGCATGAAAGCCCTACGCAAGGACGAAATCTGAGAGCACTGGTGTTGTTCGCAGGCAAGACAGACATCACTCCTGTCTGTACATACAGACCTGAGCTGTAACTCCCACTGACGCTCCTCAGAGCCTCCTAGAGCTCACAGTGTAAAGCCACGTATCTGCTGCTACAAAACAATCCCGTGAGGTTCTGTGACTTGGCTGACTGACGGGTGACAAATACCCGTCTTTGGTCCTTCATTTAATTACACTCTCCTCGTTCATACAGGTATTTATTCAAGTTTTAAGAGAAGTATCATGAGCGTTAAGACCAGCGCAAACTCATTCGGGAAAGGCGACTTGACTTACAAGTGTACTTTATTCATTGCACTCACCATGGTTGCCTGGTAAAGACCCCGCACCATTTCTTTCTTCAGATTCTGATTTCATTCCAGTGACAGGAAAAGCTGGCGGAGGCATCAACTGCCTATTTAAACCAACGCAAGCCCTTATTTTTTCTTTTTTAAAACAAGCAAAGAGTCAAAGCTAATAGCAAACAAATTCATAATTCAGTCCTTGACCTGAGGAGTTAAACTTTTAATTGCCTGACTAATCTAATGGCCCTCTACGATGGAGTGATGGCATCAGTGGGCAAAGGAAGAGCAACCAATGTCACCTTCCTGGACTTCTGTAAGGCCTTCAGTATGGTCCCCCCCAACATTATGGCCTCTAAATTGGAGAGAAATGGATTCGATGGATGGACAAGGAACTGGCTGGATGGCCGCGTCCAAAGAGTTAAGTCAACGGCTCAATGTAACAAGTGGTGTCCCTCAGGGGTCCATACTGGGACCAACCCTATTTAAAGTCTTCATGAATGACGTAGACAGCAGGATCGAGTGCACCCTCAACAAGCTGGCTGATGACACCAAGCTGAGCGGTGCAGTCTATAGGCTAGATGGAAAGGATGCTACCCAGAGGGACCTGGACAGGCTTGAGGAGTGGGCCCATGAGAACCTCGTGAAGTTCAACAAGGCCAAGTGCAAGGTCCTGCACTTGGGTCAAAGCAATCCCTGGTATCAACACTGTCTGGGGGAGGGGAAAAGGCTTGAGAGCAGCCCTGCAGAGAAGGACTTGAGGATACTGGTGGATGAAAAATGGGACACAAGCTGGCAACATGCGCTTGCAGCCCAGAAAGCCAGTCATGTCCTGAGCTGCATCAAAAGAAGCATGGCCAGACTCCTGAGGGAAGTGATTCTCCCCCTCTGTTCCACTCTCTTGAGACCCCACCTGGAGCACAGCATCCAGCTCTGGGGTCTCCAACACAGGGACCTGTTGGAGCAGATCCAGAGGAGGGCCACAAAAATGATCTAAGGGCTGGAACACCTCTCCTACTAAGAAAGGCTGAGAGCATTGAGGCTGCTGAGCCTGGAGAAGAGAAGGCTCTGGGGAGACCTAATTATGGCCTTTCAACACTTAAAGGAGGCTCCGAAGAAAGATGGGGACAGACTTTTTAGTAGGGCCTGGGATAATGGTTTTAAGCTAAAAGACGGGAGATTCAGACTAGATAGAAGGAAGGAATTTGTTTTGCTGAGGGTGGTGAGACACTGGCACAGGTTGCCCACCAAGGTGGTGGATGCCTCATCCCTGGAAGGATTCAATGTCAGGTTGGACAGGGCTTTGAGCAACCTGATCCAGTGGAAGATGTCCCTCCCCTCAGCAGAGGGGGTGGACTAGATGATCTTTAAAGGTCCCTTCCAACCCAAACCATGCTATGATGCCATGAAATGAAGTGCAACTGTCAGTTTTGTGGCTCAGTACACTGGAGCGCGTAAGGAAGAGTAGTGAGTGATGCCTGATGACTTCAAACAGCTAGGCTGAATTTAGGACTACAGACAAGACGCAGAACACAGAAAACTTTACCAATATCTTTGATGTATTTCATAACGATCAGAAAACAAAAGGGACTACAAAGTAAATCTTTCCCTGAAATTTCAGGCTGCAAAATTTCGAGTTTACAACTTTGAGATTTGTTTTAAAACTGGAATCATTTAAAGCATAAGTGCTAACCTATTTCACCAGAATATCCTGTTATCTCAAGGAGTTGGCAAAAGAGCAGACCCAAAGTAAGAGCATACAGACTTTGGGAGGAGGGGAAATGAAGCTATTTTCATTATGTAGCATGAAAAGATAACTCCTGCATCCTTTCTCCTTAAAAAACAATAAAAAAACCCCCAAAACCAAACCCACCACTACAAAAAGACACCCACAACCAACCAAACAGCCCCTCCAACCCCCAAATCGCAGTAGAGAACATGAAGCAGATTATCTCTGAAATAAGCTTTACAAAAAGACCCGAACAGAATTACTTCATCACTCACCTGTCCCTCTCTCTCTCCTTTCCTGAGGAACTTGCTGGCTTCGACCCGGCTCCATCGATTTCACTCTGACTGGAGAAGCCTGTACCTAAATTAGTCATATGAATGGGTCCATGCTATGAGCAGAAAAACACACGGCATTAGCAAATCTACAACTACAACATAAGCTACAGCTCCTTAATGATAATGATAGGAAACCCAACTTTTCAGAGCATATTGCCAACTAGTAGAAGAAACCACTAATCGCCATTGTTAAACCAAAATGCTTTCTCCTAAAAATACTGGGGGTAATGTAGGAAGAAACACGCCTGAGCACCAATATGGAAGACACCTCACCACCTACTCCACCTTTGCAGTAGTTCAGGACAGTAAAGATAGCTGCTTAGTTCACAGATCAACTTACTACCTCGTCAGGTAATTCTGAATACTCTATAGACCTCATGCCACAGTAAACTCTGCTCAAGATACTAATATTAGGTCTAACAAATAGGCAGTTTCTTATTTTCTCTAGGCAAAGCTTTTATTAAAAGTTTCTGCCTCTGAGCAGGGGTGTATCACCACAGAAGCATTTGCAGAAACTCCCTTTTCTCACAGACAAGCCTGAAGACCTCAAAATGATTTTTATTGAAACCAACTGGTTAACATTTGCTATCTAAAAAAAAATAAACTCAATCTCTTAAAAACTAGGCTTCTTGAAATCCTCTCAAGTGCAACCTGCAAGAAAGGTAAATGGGAAAATCTGCAAGTTATTACCATATTTCCCTCCCACCCCTCAAACAAGCCTACTCAAAAGACCCACAAAACCCCAAACAAACCCCCAATAACCTCCCTTTAAACTAACCAGTAACACACTCCTGTCATCTCTTTGACCTGAACACACTGCTCTTCTCTATGCAAGATTGAGGGTATGGAAAGCAAGCCACCAATGAATCAAGCCAGCCACAGCTTAAGAACAGTGCATCCACTCAAAGAAACCAAAGGATGGGCTTGTAACAATTGCTGTCATCTGCCAAAGGTCCTGCACGGCTGTTGTCCAATAAACTGTGCTAACAACAATCCCTCTCCAGCCACGTTTCATTTTGGTGAATGAAGTAAAATTGCTGATTTTATTCCACCTGATATCCCAGCAGTCCTGACTCTCTCTCATCTGGTAGTTCCTCAGTGAAGCGTCTCTTTTGACCTTGGGGGTGGGGTTGGACTTGTGGCTGCGTACCAGTCGGCACGGTTGTTTTTACTGGGGCAGCAGGAAGAAAAGGACCACTCAGTGGACTCTGGCATGCGGAAGTTGAAAACAAAACACAAGAAAATCTGATAATATGCACGTAAAGTATTAATTCAATGCACAGTTTCGTACATAGGAGCAGAACACACAACTAGTTTCTCTTAGCAGAGCCTAAGAGAAACTAAAAGGAAATTCACAACTTAAAACAAGTATTTCATTTATAGAACGCTCCTACCTCAAAGCAATCACTATCTGTAACTCAAACTCACTGTACCTACATAGCTGCATCACAGCCTGTGATAATATCATAAACAAGTGACCGCCCCCTGCAAATATCCTCTATGTTAACAGGTGGCTATGATATCAAAAATGCTGTATGAAGCAGCCCTAGCAACAATTTAGTTGCTTAAACAGAAGCATCAGCAAAGCAATAACCCAAAAACATGCCCTAAGGAAGAATCATCCATCTGGAACTACTTCAAGTCTTTTATTGTTAGCAAAGAAACAGCTTAGTAACTTGACAACTATAAGGCAAATAATTCATCTGTGGCAGTACCTGGCCAGTGCTGGCTGGGGGCTGTACTTGAGATATCGGGTACTGTGTCGGCACAGGCGGAACTCCTGTCGGTAGCGTTGTTATGACTCCAGGTGCCAATGGCACTGCAGGTGGTACTATGCCTGGTACACCATATGGTGGCTGAACTGGTTGTTGAGGAGGGGGAACAACAGGATAACCAGACTGATACCCATTGGAAGGGTAATATGACGGCTGGGACGGTACGCTATTTATAGCGGCAGGCTGCGTGAAGCCTGGTGACAGAAAGGGGAAAAAAAGGGTCATCTTCATTTCAGTCAAGAGTCACAAAAATAGTACATTTAATTACCAAATACAAAAGAAGCTGGGCTCCTTTTGAACTGAAAGGCTTAACACAAAGACTTCCACAAAACCAATCCCCTCCAGAACGCAACGAACCCCCTCCAGAACGCAACTCCAAAGACTTCGTTATTGCCAACGTTTACCTGCTAAGGGTACTGCAGTGGTTATCTGATTGACAAATCGGGAGTATTCAGCATGAACCTACAAAGGATTTTAAAAGGTTAGACAATAAACATCTATTTACAATATTAATCTTTTGCAGGCAAAAGCCATCTTACCATGCACCCCCCTAAAACTCTAAGGGGACTTGGATTACAGAACATGCTATGCACAAAGACAGCAATAATCCAAACTTAAAGGCTGAAACCAAAACCCCACAGACCAAACCCACCACCAAAACCCCACTGAACATCCCACTAATTCTGCTGTCTCCAGCAGCTTTGTGTAAGATACAGGATAATCTTTTGCAGGGAATACAGAGTGGCAAACTAATTACTTCAGTAGAGGCAAAAATACTCAAAGAATTTGAAGGTTTCCATACATTTTTTCAAAAGAGACTTTGTAGCCCATACTCAGTTATCGATACCAACAGAAAGGCTGTCTCATGGAATTTGCATTCATATAAGAAAAGTTGAGAAATTAGTTTTCTACGAGTACGTGTGACAGATTTTTTTAAAATTTTTTTTGGTGCAACAACCACTTTAGGAAAGTTAAATCAGATAGCGTGGCTCTGAACAAATTTTAAAGCTAAAGCAAGGGAAGCCACAAACATCAGAAAAACGCAGGATTCCTTTATGTGTGCGTAACAGTCAGACAATTTCCACCCCCCGTTCTGCTCAGGAAGCATTTGCATTTTTTTCCCCCCCAAATTCTCCTACTACAGCTCCATCTTGAGAAAAGTTTATTCACTGTACAAAAAACCAGACAGGAGTACTTGGGAGGAAAAACCTATTAGCAAGTCAGAACACACAGACAGTTTTGCTGAGAGCATTAAAAAGAAAAAAAAAAAAAAAATCATTAGCCAGGCACACGCTACAGCTACGACAGGCTCTGAAATCTCCTATTTTTAAGAGCTACTCACGGTTTGCAATAGATTCTCACACAACTTTTTAGCCGCTGCCAAACCTTCTGGCTTTGGGTGACTGAAAACATATACAAAAAAAACTTCTCATAAGCACAAATGTTTCTGCCAAATTTGGGAGCTACTTCTTTCATCAGCAACCTGCTGTCAGATCTTATCCCTGTAACGAGCAATCAGGCACCTCAACAGGACTCTAGGAGCTCTGCAGCTGCTTAGCGCAACTGAACAAAAGCGGTGAGTATTTATTTTCTACATGAAAATTCAGGTTAGTCTGGAGAAGGCAAGAAATGAGCACAGAACGCTGACCGGGTTGGTCAGCACATTTTGTATTCTTCCCTTAAATCTCAACATCACAACTCAAACACAGCTTTACTGTGTTCCCGATAAAAGAAGTGTCTTATGGTTGAATATCACTTTATACCACATCATCAGATGGTTGATATCTTCATTTGAGAGACCTCCTATTTTAACAGAAGTCAGGTTCAAAAAACTATTTCATTTGCATTAAATCAGTCAGAATTAAGAACTCCCCAAATTGATTAAACATTAAGCTACATTCATGACGGGTCACTGGGATTTATTTATTTTTTTTAAGCTCCCCTCATACCTGATGTAGATATACATGGGTTCAAAAGCTTCTCTGCCCGATGCTGGTTCTATGCAACCTGAGCCTTTCCCACGAAGAAAGACTTTGGCACCCGTTTCGATTTGAATGTGCTGCAAGTAAGAGCAACCAGGCCCTTCCACCTTCTCCTTCACATTAAATGTAGGTACAGCATGTTCCAGACCAACAAATAGCTTGTCCTGAACATAATGCATCTGTAAATGTAACAGTAAAAGGTTGTTATTTCACCCTAAGAATTAGGATGTTCACTTCACTGGAGGCCAGAAATCTTATTTCTGTAACAGCCAGAACACTTCAGTGTCAGATGGCACAGTCAGCCCTTTGCTTTTCTGTAAGTAGGACCGCTCTCTCCATCCCTTTTCTTTTAGGAGGCTACCGTCACCCAAGTCTCACTCTTCAGACTCAGTCTGATTAGTCCTCCAGGTATCACAACACGCAAGGCTTTTATTGATTTTTGGGGGTGGTTTTGTTCTATATAGCACATTACACGTATACTTTGTCATAGGCAAATCTTGTAATCAGTGATATTCAATGAAAGTCACATAAATTAATTACTCACCCCTGACTGGAATGGAGGTTTTTGGCCAACTGCTGGAGACAACTGAGTAATAGGGGCTGGCTGGTGATAGACAGTAACTGTAGCGCCATTGAACGTTGGACTAGAACCTGTGGCTGCCTTCACTACTCCATTAGTAATTATCTCTTTAATTCGGTTAACAGCTCCTAGTTGACAGAATATGAAATTAATTTACACTTCAGCCCTTGTCAACTGCCCAGATTAACCAAACTGTGACATGCCTAGGTTACTTTTCCATATTCTGTGACAGCAGATCTACTGGCAAAAAGCTTGCATCAATGTCAGCATTCTGGGATTGGATTGCAAAGGATGGCAACAAGCATCAGGGTTCTTTTCCCACACCCACCCTGATATTAGGCCAATATAAGCAGGTAGGCAGTTTTAGCCCAGGCATCTTAGCAAACACTAGGAACTTCCACATTAACCCTGTATAGAATCTACACCTGCAGGAAGAATTGTTTACTAACTGTGCAAATCAAGGTAGATACAAGTGGGCAGCTTCAAGTTTCAAGAGACAACCGAGGGCAAGCCCATGAACGGATGCACAGAACAAACGAACACCTGAACAGTTTATAGTTTTCCTTTTTTTCCCAGGGGGCGTAGGCAAGACAGGAGTTCTTTGTGCTTCTAATGGAAATGTAGGTATTTCATAAAAAATGTTCATATTTGTATATTAAAGGGAAGGTCTCCCTGTCACACACCTTTTGTAATGGGATCTCAGCATGTTATCCGTGAATAAACTTATACATAAGAGCTGTAGAATCATAGAATCATAGCAGCGTTTAGGTTGGAAAAGACCTTTAAGATCAAGTCCAACCGTTACCTACCTAGGAACCCTACCCACTCCCCCCACCTTCCCTGTAGTCTATCAGATGTTTTAGTTTGATGACTTACAGGATGCAGTACACAGCACCTTAGGTAGTTTTGAACAGAGACCTTCACACCAACGTTTAAAAGGGGTCTGTTATCAACACCGAGATATTTACAATATAGACCCATAACGAAGCCCCTTAGTAAAACCCCTTTATCACAAACAACGAGAGAAAGGGCAGAATGCTTTGTACACTTACTGTCAACCAATTCCCGCGTCTGACCCTGGACATGAAGATACAAAGGACGGTCTCTGGAAAGGAAATGTCAAATATTCCATTAAATCCACAGAGAACACGCAATAATGGACTCAATCCAATTATATTATGGTCACCTAGACACATAAAGTCTTCCATAAATAATTTGCTTTCAAATAAGGAAGTAAATACGTATTCATTGGATATCACAGTGCTCAGTAAGCAAAGCTTTGCAATGAAAGCTAAAAAGATTCAGAATTTATTTACGTGACGACTTATTAAAGTTACACCACTGAAAACTTTAATTTGCTTGTCCACATGAAAGTTGAACTAAAAGCACCGAGTCCATGAAATATTAGCGCTCTTTGTAATTATAAAGTTGCCTATTTTTGGAAACGTGCACAAGAGATCCAGGATAGCGTTCAGTCAGAAGAGTTCAGCACAGTTTGCTCTGTCACATTTGTGGTTGTTTGCTGGGGGGTTTTATTTCATCCCACCAATATTAAGCAGGTAGGAAACCAGCTATGCAGCCAGTACTATCAGAGAGGCAAATGTATTCAAAACACTGAAGAGTCCATTCCCTCTGGCACTCCAAACGTGACACTGCTCATGGAAAACAAACCAAACAAAACCCCCACCACTTAGCCACCCAATAAGGAAAAAAAAAAAAAGCAGAAGCCCCCAAAAAGAAATACGAACCCAGGTCCAACTTTTGCTTTCTCTTCTGCAGTCATGAACCTCCCTCGGGTAGAGACAGCTGCTCCACTCAGCCGACTTATCTACAGTCAATTTAAAACAACACAGTGACAAGTTTAGCAATAATAAACACACAAAACCCCAAAGTGGTTTAAGCTATGAGGTTGTATAAAAATAGCAGGAGTCATTAATAGAGTGGTAAGAGAATGAGCAGTGCCTGCTGAAGGATACTCGCTATGCTCCCTTATCTCATTATCTGGCATTTTATTGAACAAACAACTAAACTACTACACCAAGTGTCTTAGAAAACGTGAGTTCCATAAAAAGAGGAAACAACCACTAATATAATTTATTGCAATTTATTTTTAGCCTGGAGAAGAGAAGGCTGAGAGGGGATCTCATCACCACCTACAAATATCTCAAGGGTGGGGGTCACGAGGACAGAGCCAGACTCTTCCCAGTGGTGCCCAGCGCCAGGACAAGGGGCCATGGGCACAACCTGAAGCACAAGAGGTTCCAGTTGAACGGGAGGAAGAACTTGTTGACTGTGAGGGTGCCCGAGCCCTGGCCCAGGCTGCCCGGGGGGGCTGTGTAGTCTCCTTGTCTGGAGATATTCAACCCCTGCCTGGATGCTGTCCTGTGCCCCCTGCTCTGGGTGAGCCTGCTTGGGCAGGGGGGTGGCACTGGGTGATCCCCAGAGGGCCCTTCCCACCCCTGCCACTCTGGGATTCTGTGTTTCTGTGTGCAAGCTCTCTTAACATTACAAACAAGTAAAAATGTGCTGCCAAGCCTAACACATCAGATGTAGATCCTGAACTTACCTCATCCTGAGTCTGTCCTCTCGTCAGCAGGTTCCTGCACGTGAGGGGGACATCATTGATTTCTACCTCTGCCACCACAAGGTCATCTTTGCTTTTACTCGTGGCCGGACCTTTTCCCAGAGCCTGCAGCTTCAAAGACAACCGTTGCAAAAGACCAGCAGTTGGAAAGCAGAGATAAATGATGTAACAAATAAACTGACCCGGTACTCGAGAGGTGAATATCCTTTTAATCCTCCCCTTTCAGCTGTGGAACCCAAAAGCTTTACAAGCATTAGCAGAAAGCACATAGTATCTGCTACTTAATCTACCTCTTCACAAGCTTGAGCCCAAATAAAAACACTAGTTTTATCTTCAGCACATTTTAGTATAATAAGTAATTACTGTTTCTGTTTTATAAATGGAGGAACAGATGGAGAACTAAGCAGTAAAGTTGCTCAAATGGAAACCAAGGCTTGAACTGGCATCTCTGACAGAATCGGAGAGACTAATAAAACAAGTAATTCCTACTTCTATGTCTATGTAAGGGGAGTTGAGAGAATTCAGAATTTCTGGTCAAGATCTAAACTCATCCACACTATGACCGCACTTTCTCCCCCGCCCCTTTTAATTTTTTTTAAAACCAAGGGCATAGTATTTTGTGTCAGCATCTAAGTGCTAAGAAGGAGAAAACCACCGAGTGACAAACAGATTCAGGAGATATGGCAGAAGAGTGGGAGTTACAACAAAGACCTTACAGCTTTTTCCACGTAGAGTTAGATAGTACATCCTTCTAAGAGTTCTGAAATGCTTTTGGGGACGTAAACCAAGACTCTATAAAAAGAGAACCTTCCAGTAACATCCCAAAGGTATCTATCCTCTCTCACAAATATCACACAAAGCACGGCATTTGCGTGACAGCCAGAAGGCAGCTATGGAGGGACCCAAGTCTAATGCATTGTACATGCATTCTGTTTCTCCATTCCTTCTACACTTTTTTTTTTTTTAAAGTACATTCATTAACCTGCAGGCTCCTTAATTTCCATTTGCTCACAATCTGAAATGCCAGCAGAATTAATTATTCTGGAAACGTCATCACTGAACATTTCCTAAGAAAAGCAACATAAGCAATAAAAAAAAAAATTCCCATTTGCAAATTAATTAATTGGTTAAGTGGTTCCCACAGCAACACAATTTGTCCCAGGGTGCCAGAGTGCCGCCAGAGCTTATGGAAAAAAAACCATAGATACAAGAATGAGACAGCACAGTATCTTCCAATTTTTAGGTATCTTGAACTGGCAGTCAGTGAACAGACTTCACTTCCATCTGGTGTCTGCAGAGGCTCCCTGAAACCAAGGCACAGGTTCTTCAACGCTGAAAATTTCACATCCTCAGGTGGATGTTGAGGATTGAGCAGCAGACACCTTCGCGCAGCAAGCAACGCGCAAAACCACCTAGGATTGCTGATAGCAACGATGGACGAAACACTCCCTACTAAACCTCACATATTAAAAAGGCTGTAACAATCAGTTTGGATGCTGAAGCTACAGAGAACTCATTACGGTAAATACGTGGCAGGGGACATCTGCCACTCTTTCTTATATTAGCTGTATTATTTTATGTATAATATATGTACATAATATATGTATATGACTTATATTTTGCCATCCGATGACAAAATAAGTACTCATTTTGATGCTGCACCTCAAGGCAAACCCTGAGAACATAACTGGCACTCCCACCAATACCACGCATGTGAAAAAGAGAATACGTACGCCGTGAAAACACACTCTTCCTGTTAACTTTACATTTGAACAGGTTGGGAAGGAAGCTAGAGACAGCCTTCTAAACTCGGCTCTAGCGCAGGCTAACAACATGCGGAAAAGCAAGACTCTTCCTGTCACTGAAATTGGGAAGCAGGCTTTAAGTTACACTTGCTTTAGAATAGAAAAGTTCAGCTGGAAGGGACCTACAGTGACCATGCAGTCCGACTGCCAGAGCACTTCGGGGCTGACCAAAGGCTCAGCTCAGGGCTGACCAAGCTGTTTAGAACTTGGACATACAGCTCCTGCCGGTAACTTGTTTAAGCACGAAAATAATTTGGTCTCGTATTTTAAACTGGCTGTTTTATCCGGCGGTTTTCACATCAGCTGTACTACCTAGAAATTACTTCAGAAAAAAGTTTGGCACCGTCCCCCAGGTC